GAGAGGCAGACCTCTCCTGACCTGCCTGTTGCTCCCTTCAGTAGTGTACTTCAGTCTGCCTGTACTGCTCCCCACTCAGTCTCTGGTGAATCCTCTCACTGGCCCTGTATCTCTGTCCTGCACCCCAGTTCTGTATGCATAAATAAATAAAATTTAAAAAAAAATGAGCACTTTCTTTTAAATATTCTTTCATAATTAATTTGCTCCACTTTGTTTCTATACATGAGGTAACTTTTAGTTCAATTCATGAGTTCCTAAATGATTAATAAATGAGGTTTAGATCTGTAAGACTTCACTGCATTAAACTAGTTCAAATAAGATTTTTGGAAGAACAACCAAATTTCAGCTTTAGCCCATTCTTTACTACTTAGCACTAGAGAGTTAATACATAATTGCTATTTTGTCACTTTCATTGAGTTCTACAAAGTTTTTTAGGCATAAGATACACAGTGGTATTTTACAAAATGGTATCACCTGAAACAGTATTCTTTGCAATACATGTTAGTGAATTAATGAATGAACTTAGATGAAAAGGCAGAAATAAAAACTTTAGCTATTTGCACTGTCAATATTGAAAGAGGAATATGACAAACCTCATATTAAAGGAAGTAACAGACAGAAGGTAAATCTCACAATTACTTATAAATTCTTCTCACTTTCAGCTTTAGAGAAAACTCTGAACCATTAGCTTTCTTACCTTTTTCTGGGCCAACCATTTTTCCAGTACAAGAAGCCAGACCCAGGCTATTCTTTGAGGGGTAATGTCCTCTCCACATCTGAAAAATGTGAAAAGAAGAATCTCTTAAAAAAATAATTTCGGCCCTCCCTGGTGGCACAACGGGTTAAAGAACAGCACTAAGAAGCTAAAGCCACTTCCGCATGAGTTCGATCCCCGCCTGCCCCGGAGGTGATCACATGGCCAGGCAGACCTCTCCTGGCCCACCTGCTGCTCCCCTCAGCAGTGTACTTCGTCCATCTGCCTGTTCTGCTCCCCATTCTGTCTCTGGTGAAGCCTCTCACCCTCCACATCTCTGGCCTGTACCCCAGTTCTGTATGCACAAATAAATCTTAAAAAAAAAAAAAATTTTTTTTTGACTTTTTTTTTTTGGTAACTCAAGATTTAGACTTCACTACTCAGTCTGTTTTAAATCTTACTAGCAAGATATTGTTCTAATTAGAAGTTTTTAAATATATATAACAGATCAATAACCAAACAGACTAACAGCTTTCTTTTTTTTTTAATATTTATTTTTATTTATTGTGCATTCAACTAGAGTGCAGGCCAGAGTTACAGGGGGAGGGGTTAAAAGGGTTCACCAGAGACAGAGAGGAGAGCAGAACAGGGGGACTGACTGAAATATACTGCTGAGGGGAGCAGCAGGTGAGACAGGAGAAGTCTGCTATGCCATGTGTGTCAGCTCCCTGGCAGGGATGGGGATGGAGCTCATGCTGCAGTGGCTGGTGGTAGCTTAAGAGTGCTGAGATTTTAACCACTGTGCTACCAGGGAAGCCCCAGACCAACAGCTTTCATTGAAAAAAAAAGGAAAAAAGGGCTTCCTGGTCGCCTAGAGGTTACATATCAGTGCTGTCACTGTTATGGCCTGAGTTCAGTCACCGGCTGGGGAGCTAACACACCTATGATGCAGCTGTAAATCCACCCGTCCTACTTCCCACTCTGTCTTCAGTAAATCCTCTCGCCCCTGCACCTTACACTATAGTTCTACACTAATTAAATAAATAGAATTAAAAAAAACTATTTGTTTAAAAAAAAGGAAAAAAATTTTCATTTTACTTCCATCTCCTCAACTAGACATTGTGATTTTGAGACAAAAAATTACACTGGATCCATTATAACTACAGTTACCTCTTGAGGTATATTCTTGAATATAGAAACTGAAACAAGTAGTATTAAAGAAAGAAAAGGAACTTCATAAAAATTTATTTTTACCTGTACAATAAACAGTCATAGGAAAATATAAGCCTTTCTTTGAAGTTATTTATTTCTCTGCCACCCCCTACTTATTCTTATTTATTTTTAGACACTAATTCTCTAGAACTCACATATCTGGGGAAAAAGTAAAGGAAGAAAAGAATAACTTAGGTCTCCATTCTTATGTGCTAATACAATACTTAAACTGTATCACATAACTGCCAAAATAAGGGAGCTTAGCAGTACACTGAACTCCTATGTCACTGCTGACAGCACTGCAAGGAAGAACTTCATTCCAAACTGGCATAGAGAACAGCGATTGCTAGCAGACAAAGAGGGGTAAAAATGAGAGGCAGCAGGAGAGAGTGAGGGTATTCTGTGGTAACGGAAGTCTAGAACAGTTCAATAACTTGATTACAGTGGTAGTTGCATGAAATCTATACATGGATAAAATTGCATAGAACTACATACACAAAAAATGCATGCAGATTTACAAACTGGTAAAAACGGAGTAATGTCTGAAGTATCAACAGTAATGTACCAATGTTTATTTCTTGGTTTTAGTATTATAGCTATGTGAGATGTCTCAACCCAGGGAAAGAGTACTTTTGCACTTCTTGTTAGTCTACAATTATTTCAAAATAAAAAGTTTTAAGTGAACCTTGTTGACTTCACCACTCCTTTGTTACACCTGCAACCCTATCTTCAGTTACATGAGAAAAGAGCAGGGTTAACTTTTTGGATGCAAAGAAGTTTTCGCTGCCAAGTTTTCACTTTCTAATGATAATAACTAAAAAATGGTGGATTCAGGAACATTGTTGACCTCACTCAAATGCAGATGTTAATTCATAGTCAATATTAATTAATAGGAATATACTGTAGAGGTAAATTTTCAAGGCAAGTGAAATACACTGGGCTTCTATTAATTCTTCAGAAGGTAGTCGAGTGAGACACAATGACCAAAGCCCGGCTATTGAACCTTGTCGCCTCCCCTCGGGTGACTGTCAGGCAGGAAGATACCTTACCTCAGCTGATTTGGACACACCACCAGCGCATGAAGTATGTCTTCCACTTTCTTTGGGATATCCCCTTTTGCCTCCTGTAGCTGAGGAACACACGCCTGTGCCAGTTCCCATTCTCCTCTCTGAAGGCACTCACAGAAAAATTCAAATAGATGCTCCTCGGAAGTAGTTTCTTCTCTTCCAAATGGGTGATGCATTTTCACAGCAAAGAGTGCAGGGTGATAAAAGAGATGAATTACACAGAACTCATCCTCAATTTTCTCATTTGTGGAGTACTTCCTAGGAATACATAGCAGCGTGAGAAAAAAACCCAGAAAGAACGATATTTACACAAAGCAGCCTCTACTGGCCCGACTGGGAAGAGGGGGTTTACTTTCCTAATTACCGTACTCAGTTTGATTTGACATATTAATATCTTTTTGACAACTTCCACCATTTCTCAATGGGTGGATCTCACCACGCGCGTCCAATATTTAATTAATAGTAATTGTCCTATCAGCCCGGGGCGCAGACCCGAAAACTACACATGTATATTTCTTCCTGAACTTTAAGCCGAGTCCGGCTCCAAATCCCCAGGTGGTCGCTTCTCACAGATGAGAAATTCAGCAGGAACCTCCCTAGTTTGATCCTTCTCTTCAGGCAGAATCCTGAAGATCAGGAGACTAATTTGTATCAGTACTAGAGGACACTGGGGATTGGTGCGCAGGAACGCTCAGTACAAGGGTCTTGGAGAGCGCCCCCGCCTTCTCTAGGGTGCTTTACACTCACCTGCTCCCGGCGCCCAAAGCAATAGAGCTCCCAGCGCAGCCATGTTTCAGCCAAGTCAGGTGACAGGCACTTTGGGAGGATGCGGGTGACGACTGAGAGCCGCTGCTCCTATTGGTTCAATGGAGGACAATGCAAATAAGGCGCCATATTTGTTTGGGTCACGTGACGGGGCCCCTGGAGCTTGGAGGACGCTAGTCAGCTCTGAGAGAGTAAATCAGTAAATCAAGACCATCCCTCTTAGTATGACAGAGCCTCTGTTCAATAAAGTTGTGTTAGGTCCTATTTAGACATGAAATAAGATGCAGAGCCCATCAGGTAGCTCAGTTTAGTGAGGTCTGCCGTCTACGGCCAATGATTGGTATTCCATGGGTTAAATTCTAAAAATCAGGTGTTCACAGGGGAGATGAGAGCTAAGAGTAAACGAAGGTTTTTAGTTGTTTTTTTTTTTTTTTTTTTTTTTTTTATGATCTGAAACTGGGTCTTAAAGTATGGGTTTATTAGGTTTCATCACAGCTTTTTTTTTTTTTTAAGATTTATTTATTT